CCCAGTCCTCCTAGCGCAGTTAGGATGGCACTGGGTTCAACATTATTAAAGGCACCTTCGATGTCAAGAAAGGCGACAAGAGAGTACTCCTTATACAGTAGCGAACGTTCAATATGTCCAACTAGTGAATGAAGAGCTGTTTCAACAGATTTACCTTTAGTGTATGCATGCTGTGATTTAGAGATTTGTTCCGGTGGGATGGTCATTCTCAAATGGACATCAATAACCCGTTCTAGGGTCTTGAGCACAAAGGACGCTAGACTAATTGGTCTGAAGTCCTTAGGTTTGGTATGTGATGCTTTCCCTCCTTTGGGAATGAAAACAACGTTATACCTCATCCACGTACTAGGAATATACAGAGTTGTTAGACATGCCTTGTAAATTAAAAGCAGCCATGGTATCACAAGATCTTCATTTTTCTATAGTATGCAATATTATAGAAATTTATTATAAATTCTATAACAGAGTTTAAAGAACAATATTCCCTTTAAGATAATGTAATAAAAATGCAAAAGTTGTTTAGAAAAAGTATTATTGATACAAAATTTCATCGCCTTTGGTGCGGAAACTTTTTCCACGATCCCGAAAAAATAGGTCATTCCTTAACATCTGTTTGCAGCCTACAAGGTCTTGCTATGGTATTTTTGATATTTGTTTTATCTTAGTATTTTCTTTTTTTTTTAATTTTGTACCTATGCGGGCTAAGTGAAATTTTGAACCGATTCTAATAATTTTCAATATTCTCTAGATTGAAAAAAGTCTTGAGACAAGTTTTGTCGAGTTAGCTGTATATTTTCTGAAATAAACTAATCAAGAATAAAAAACTTAATATTCTCACGTACATATGTATGTAGATATCGTCACCAGAAATGCAAAAAAGCGTAACAACCAAAAATATTAAAATCGACATTTTGATGGAAAATGTTCCACTGCATCAAAATACATGTTGTTGCAAATTTTTAGAACTATATTTTTAAAAACACCGACTTTATAGAAATTAAATTCAAAACGGGGTAACAATTTGCACAAGTCAGAAAGTCCTAAAAAGCACATAATAGACAATGTCTGGCGGTATAGTTGTATTCAAACGTGTTAATCGATGTTGGTATACAATAGGGTTCTATAAATCGACTTTCGAATAATCGAACAATCGACTTTTTGTCGAAAAAAGTCGAAAAGTCGAAGTCGACTATTTTGTTCCAAAAAAGTCGATAACTCGACTATCGTCTATGAAAAAGTCGAAAAGTCGACTGTAAATAAAAGTCGAAAAGTCGGAAAGTCGAAAAAAGTCGAAAAGTCGAAAAAAGTCGAAAAGTCGAAAAAAGTCGATAAGTCGAAAAAAGTCGAAAAGTCGAAAAAAGTCGAAAAGTCGGAAAAAGTCGAAAAGTCGGAAAAAGTCGGAAAAAGTCGAAAAGTCGAAAAGTCGAAAAAAGTCGAAAAGTCGAAAATAGTCGAAAATTTTAAAAAAGTGGAAAAGAGGTCAAAAACTCTAAAATAGTCGGAAAAACTCGAAAAAAGTAAAAAATAGTCGAAAAAAGTCGAAAAAAAGTCGAAATAAGTCGAAAATAGTCAAAAAGTCGTAAAAAATCGAAAAGTCGAAAAGTCGGAAAAAGTCGAAAAGTTGAAAAAAGTCGGAAAAAGTCGAAAAAAGTCGAAAAGTCGAAAAAAGTCGAAAAGTCGAAAAAAGTCGAAAAGTCGAAAAAAGTCGGAAAAAGTCGAAAAGTCGGAAAAAGTCGAAAAGTCGAAAAAGGTCGGAAAAAGTCGAAAAGTCGGAAAAAGTCGAAAAGTCGACCATTTATAAAATACTAAAAGTCGAAAAGTCTAAAAGTCGACTTTTAAATAAATGAAAAAGGTCGAAAAGTCGAAAAATCGACTTTTCATAAAATGGAAAAAGTCGAAAGGTCGAAAAGTCGACTTTTAACTAAATGCAAAAAGTCGAAAAGTCGAAAAGTCGACTTTTCGTTTCAACTATAGAACCCTAGTATACAATAGTAAAAGCTGTGATACACGGTTGTCAGATCTTACAACGTAAAATGTGCAGAAAATGTCTAACAATCGTGTGAACTTACAATTTTTCTTTTGCAACGTTGTCAGAAAAAGCATTACTGACGAAGTTGCAAGACATTTGTAAGTTGACGCTGTTGTTAGACATTTTCTGCACATTTTACTACCAACGTTGTAAGATCTAACAATCGTGTATACATACCCAGCAAAAAATAATTGATGTCATACTTTGCAAACGACATCTTAATCACATCTAAAAATGCGATAACATATTTTTCGCTATTATAAACCAAATGAAACCCACTTAAAAGTGAGTAATGAGATGTAGAAAAGTACAAATAACATATTCGTGAAAGACTAATGAAATGTTATTTTTGACATCCAAATATAGGATTTTTACTGCTTCTAATAATAAGATTAGATGTAGTTCAAAGTTGTCAAAAATGAACAACATCCCTCCAATGACACGCTAATGTAAAATTCATAGGTTTTTCACCCGAATTTGAAGTACTTCCGGTTACTAGTTGTGATGAAAATACTACATCTTTTTCCACACTTTTTTTGCTTGGTAGCTTAAGAAAATGTCGTTTTTATAACAATAATAGCTTTTATTTAGTTTTTTGTCTCTCCTGTAAAATTTTTAAGTGTTATGTCATTTTGCATTTCAGGTGACGACATGTATATAGGTGAAGGGTATAAAAAAGTACCACTATACTTCGTAAAAACCTACCAAATTTGAAATCACCTAACTCCACGTTTGTTTTGTTGTTGTATTGTCTAGGAAAAATATAATAAACAAAGAAAGTAAACAAATGTTTATACATACATACATACATACATATATATAACCAGTGATACCAATTTTGTATATTTCAAGGTGGATTTAGTGCTTTTGATCAACACAAAGTGCTATTTTAGTTAAAGAGCGCCAAGGTTTGCGTTCTAAATTTGTTGTGACCTTATATTTTGTTAGATCTTATCCTATTGTTTCTCGAAATACCGATTTTTTAAAATTTGGTTTCAATAATGTTATTTATTTATAAAAATAACTGTAAATTATAACTGTTTCTTTGCTTACAGAGATTAGTTTTAGAATTAAAAAATTTTAAATATATCCAATATCTCTTCAAAAATAGAGATTACTCCGCACACGCGTGTAAAGAGTAGTACTCCTCAAAGGACTGATCCAGAACTAATCCAGATATATGGGAAAACATACTCGATTTAACATTGTGATGTCCTAGGTGAGGACTACTTAAACCAACCATGCATTACATCGGAGTCATCCCAAAACTACTCCCTTGGGATTACATGATCCGCAACATGGTCCCATGTAATGCAGGCTATGAACCATATTGTTTTCAAAAAAGGAAACATGATCAATGCATGCATTACATAGGACTACTAAACGGATCATGTACTCCAATAATTTTTCCAAGGATGCCTAGTTTTAGTCTTTGTGTCATGTTTTATTTATTTATCAATACATAGAACATTTTCTTTTTGTACAATATCTTACAAATTAAACAGCAACTGTTTTCAGTTAGCTGAACTAATTTTCAATTTTATTTCTTAAAAAAAAAATAAAATTTGACTATAAAAATCTAATAATTGTTCATCATTATATATGTAAAAAAGCAAATGAATGATATTGAGTCTCGTACGGTCTCATAGAGAAGATGTTTACACCTTTCAGAACAATATAAGAATTATGGCATCGATTTGTAGCATTTTTTTTTTTTTTTTTTGATATTTTACCCATAAGATCATTATTTTGAAATATTTGATTTTAATGGCATATCACAAATTTTTAGCGCATATTTTGAAATTTCATGCTATATTTTTTAATCGATAAGTTTTTAAAGATTAATGAAAATTGTCAAATTTCAAATAATGAATATAATTAATTAAACAGTAAAATTACTGTATATTTTCTACATAATTCAATATTTTTATAATAAATATTCTACCTTTATTAATTTTTCTATAATGAAGAACATTTATTTGTGGATTTTTTAAGAGTTTCTTCTAATTTATCTACTTCTAGAATTGGTTCATACTGAAATATTTCTGATTCTTGAAAAGAAATTTTAATATATGAAAAAAAACTTAATTAAAAAATTTACATAGAACTGAATTCGAAGAATTGAAAATTAAAATATTGTTTATTATAGGAAGAAAAATATTGTAAAAAGCAATAAAAACATCTAGTTTCCTTTTATTCAACTAATTATTTTGATTTATCCGATTATTAACCGGGTAACATAAAACCTCTAATAATTATTTGTCTAATAAACCGAATAAGACTAAAGCCCGAATAATTGAATACCCAAAACATTTTCTATTTCAGTTTTTTAGAGCATATTTTAAAATTGTATGCTATATTTTTTATTTACGTAAATTTTTTTATTTTTAAAAATTTTAAAGCTTGTTTCACAATTTGTTTAGTATCTAAAAATTTTTTAAATAATATCTAAAAATAATATTTAGTATAGAGTCTTAATTATAATTGTTTATTTCGGAATATAATTTCACTTTCAGCCTTGAAAGCTTTTCAACGTTAAACAATGTTAAAAATCATTAAAACTTTAATTTTTAAAGCATCAAAATTTTTTTAGAAAATGTTCTTGGTTTCGAGTAATCGACATTAGACGTTTATATTTAATTAAATGTCGTTTTAATATTAGTTGTCAACACTGCTTAATACAATTCAGTTGGAAATTTTATTTGTAAACTGCGCAGTGCATAAAAATATATATGTACATACATACATATACTTATATGTATTTGTTTATTTATTTACATATATATGTACTTACATTGTATATAAACGAAAATGTAGCAATAAAAACAAAATTACAAAATACTTTTGTCTAAACTAAAAAAATATTGTATATTTGTTACAAGGACGTAAATTTTTAACTAGAACAAAATTAAACATATTTTTATTTTTAAATTTTTGGGAAATTTGAACTAAATGAAATTGCATTGTTTACCTTTAATTCCTTTATATTTTTTTGAAGTCTTTATTAGCACTGGTTGTTTTATTTTAGTAATCTTTTTAAACACTTATTAGCACACTATTTTATTTTTTCAATTTTAACATAAAATTTTAGCACTAAAATGTTTGAGAATCACCATGAAGTATTTTATTTTGGTATGATTCAATTTATTTCACTAATTTTCTATAAACATCCACAAACTTCGAGAAGTAAATTGAGAATAAAATTTTCATTACTTTAATACCAAAATGCCAAACAATACAGCTGATATAAATTTACTTTTTTTTAAAGAAATTTTGTTAAAACAAGTGTCAAATCAAGGCGAATTCATATAAGGTGGTGTTATTCAATCAGCTGATAATTTTTTTCTTAATTCGCCTGGTTTACGTAGCTGTCAAAGTTTGTTATTGTTTACATTTTTATATTTAAAAATGTCCGTTAAACGGAGAAAAACTTCGTTAATATTTTGAATTATTTATGTAAAAAATCTGAAAATACCAAGCATCTCGTAAACAAATATCATTTTATTTAAATAAGGGCATAATTGGTATGTATACAAATATGTTATTTAAGAAATATATTTTTTTCTATTAAATGTTAACATATTACACAATATTGTTTTATATTTTATATTAAAATTGTGTAGATAACGTGATTAACTAAAAAAAATCTCTTCCGGAACACTTAATATTAAGAAACGCATATGAAGTATTTACCCGGCTGGCGGCAGCTGACTTCTACGTTATGGCTTAATTTTGAAATCTATTAAATGTCAACAAATTAAACAATATTGTCTTATATATACACTATGTAGATAAAGAGATTAACTAAAAAAGTCTGTTCTGGAACGCTTTATATAACAAAACCCACATGAGGTATTTACCCGGCCGGCGGCTGCTACATTATGGCCAAATATTGAAAATTACTCCGCCGGAGTAGAATTATCCATTCGCAACAAATATTCAATCATTCGTAATATAATATTTTCATGATTATTTTTCACAAAAAAATAAGTTTTACTTAACTTCAGGCACTCGCTTACTTAAATTTTGTAAATTAATCTGCCTGAATGGAATTTTTCGTTTGAAACAAACATTATTCAATTCAGAATATATTTTCCTTACAAATTTTAATATCTTTATCTTTATTTTTTAATAAAATATAAACTTTTTACAAAAATTGTTCATGAAATGAATTCGCTGTACTTATGGTTTTTGTCATCTACATAAACCAAATGCAAAAACAAAATACATGTAAAATGTTGTTGTTGCAGAATTGCCACCACCTTATCTGAATTCGACTTGCTATTAGCCTTGGCAGTGCACTGCATGGTGTTATGGGTAAAACAGTGGAATGAAAAGTGGAACATCAGTGGTTCGAGTCTTGGTTAAGTCATTCTTTTTATTAAAAATATTTAAAATTTAAAAAAAAAACAAAATTAATTGTCGCAAATTTGTAAGTACTTTTGTAATTCCTCTTAAAAAATTTATTTCTGAAAGGAAAACTTCTGTATCTTTTCAAAATTCGATTATTATAATCTCCACCACCATCACTGGTGCAGGTTTGTTATTCTAAGTGTAATACTGAGAAATATTAATCTCAGACCCAACAAGGTATAGACATATGAATATTGAGGGTCCTTATGAAATTTTGAGTCGATGTAGCTATGCACGTTTGAATAAATAGTGTTTGAATCTAGAGAATCAAATTAATTATTTAAAGTATTTTTTCCATACATGGGTATACAGAGGTGTCAAATTTGACAGTTCAAAAACACTAAAATTACCTTTTTTTGAAATGGTCTCGGTAGACAGAAAAAAAAATATTTGGGGTTTAATACAGACAGTGCGTTAAAACAAACAACACTATGTAAGGTTATTTTGTAAACAAAACAACAAAGCAAAAGATATATAAATTATATGTTTTATTAATATATATACATATTACGATGTTTTATTTTTTATATTTTTTACAACAATTTACCAATAATTTACTTACCTCAAATAAGAAAATTGAAAAGAAAACCAAAAAATAAGACCAAAACAAAACCAGTTGAAATAGGATTCTATAGTTGAAACGAAAAGTCGACTTTTCGACTTTTTCATTAGGTAAAAGTCGACTTTTCAACTTTTTCATTTAATTAAAAGTCGATTTTTAGATTTTTTCCGACGCACATAAAGAAAACAACCCGACGAAAAATAAAACAAATCGCAACAGCACGCACATAAAGAAAACAACCCGACGAAAAATAAAACAAACCGTAACAGCTGTTTTATCAAAATAAACATTTTTTTTGGTGTGGTGAGTTATTTTTGTTTACAAATATGTGTTTCTGCACGTGGAAAAGACGCAAAAACTCGTTTTCATTATTTACATTTTCAATATGTGTTTATGCACGTGGAAAAAATTCAAAAAAATTGATTTTCATGATTTACATTAAAAAAAATATTTTTGATCAATTAAAATATGTGTATAAATGCGGAAAGGAACAAATCTGATAAAATATAAATATATTTGGGATTATATCGTTACAGAATGCCTTTTAATAAAAAACATTCAAAAAATGTTACTATGGTCATATATATAAAATGATATATAACTGCTATCGGACGATCTTGTGCACGATAAAAACCTATATAGAACTTTAAGTTGGAAGTGTAGAAATCGGATGGCATACATTTTTTTCCGGATTTCATCGTTCTAGGGTGTGTACTACAACAACAAACTTTTTTTTTACAAAAAATGTTACTATAGCCGTATATATAAAATGATATATAACTGCTATCGGACGATCTTGTGCACGATAAAAACCTATATAGAACTTTAAGTTGGAAGTGTAGAAATCGGATGGCATACATTTTTTTCCGGATTTCATCGTTCTAGGGTGTGTACTACAACAACAAACTTTTTTTTTACAAAAAATGTTACTATGGCCGTATATATAAAATGATATATAACTGCTATCGGACGATCTTGTGCACGACAAAAACCTATATAGAACTTTAAGTTGGAAGTGTAGAAATCGGATGGCATACATTTTTTTCCGGATTTCATCGTTCTAGGGTGTGTACTACAACAACAAACTTTTTTTTTACAAAAAATGTTACTATAGCCGTATATATAAAATGATATATAACTGCTATCGGACGATCTTGTGCACGATAAAAACCTATATAGAACTTTAAGTTGGAAGTGTAGAAATCGGATGGCATACATCTTTTTCCGGATTTCATCGTTCTAGGGTGTGTACTACAACAACAAACTTTTTTTTTACAAAAAATGTTACTATAGCCGTATATATAAAATGATATATAAGTGCTATCGGACGATCTTGTGCACGATAGAAACCTTTATAGAACTTTAAGTTGGAAGTGTAGAAATCGGATGGCATACATTTTTTTCCAGATTTCATCGTTCTAGGGTGTGTACTACAACAACAAACTTTTTTTTTACAAAAAATGTTACTATAGCCGTATATATAAAATGATATATAACTGCTATCGGACGATCTTGTGCACGATAAAAACCTATATAGAACTTTAAGTTGGAAGTGTAGAAATCGGATGGCATACATTTTTTTCCGGATTTCATCGTTCTAGGGTGTGTACTACAACAACAAACTTTTTTTTTACAAAAAATGTTACTCTAGCCGTATATGTAAAATGATATATAAGTGCTATCGGACGATCTTGTGCACGATAGAAACCTATATAGAACTTTAAGTTGGAAGTGTAGAAATCGGATGGCATACATTTTTTTCCGGATTTCATCGTTCTAGGGTGTGTACTACAACAACAAACTTTTTTTTTTACAAAAAATGTTACTATAGCCGTATATATAAAATGATATATAAGTGCTATCGGACGATCTTGTGCACGTTAAAAACCTATATAGAACTTTAAGTTGGAAGTGTAGAAATCGGATGGCATACATTTTTTTCCGGATTTCATCGTTCTAGGGTGTGTACTTCAACAACAAACTTTTTTTTACAAAAAATGTTATTATGGAAGTATATATAAATTGATATATAACTGCTATCGGACGATCTTGTGCACGATAAAAACCTATATAGAACTTTAAGCTGGAAGTGTAGAAATCGAATGACATACATTTTTTTCCGGATTTCATCGTTCTAGGGTGTGTACTACAACAACAAACTTTTTTTTTACAAAAAATGTTACTATAGCCGTATATATAAATTGATATATAACTGCTATCGGACGATCTTGTGCACGATAAAGACCTATATAGAACTTTAAGTTGGAAGTGTAGAAATCGGATGGCATACATTTTCTTCCGGATTTCATCGTTCTAGGGTGTGTACTACAACAACAAACTTTTTTTTTACAAAAAATGTTATTATGGAAGTATATATAAATTGATATATATCTGCTATCGGACGATCTTGTGCACGATAAAAACCTATATAGAACTTTAAGCTGGAAGTGTAGAAATCGGATGACATACATTTTTTTCCGGATTTCATCGTTCTAGGGTGTGTACTACAACAACAAACTTTTTTTTTACAAAAAAAATGTTATTATGGAAGTATATATAAATTGATATATAACTGCTATCGGACGATCTTGTGCATGATAAAAACCTATATAGAACTTTAAGTTGGAAGTGTAGAAATCGGATGGCATACATTTTTTTCCGGATTTCATCGTTCTAGGGTGTGTACTACAACAACAAACTTTTTTTTACATAGTTTTATTATGGAAATATATAGAAAATTATATATAACTTTAAGTTGGAAGTGTAGAAATCGGATGGCATACATTTTTTTCCGGATTTCATCGTTCTAGGGTGTGTACTACAACAACAAACTTTTTTTTACAAAAAATGTTATTATGGAAGTATATATAAATTGGTATATAACTGCTATCGGACGATCTTGTGCACGATAAAAACCTATATAGAACTTTAAGTTGGAAGTGTAGAAATCGGATGGCATACATTTTTTTCCGGATTTCATCGTTCTAGGGTGTGTACTACAACAACAAACTGTTTTTTTACAAAAAATGTTATTATGGCCGTATATATAAAATGATATATAAGTGCTATCGGACGATCTTGTGCACGATAAAAACCTATATAGAACTTTAAGTTGGAAGTGTAGAAATCGGATGGCATACATTTTTTTCCGGATTTCATCGTTCTAGGGTGTGTACTACAACAACAAACTTTTTTTTTACAAAAAATGTTACTATAGCCGTATATATAAAATGATATATAACTGCTATCGGACGATCTTGTGCACGATAAAAACCTATATAGAACTTTAAGTTGGAAGTGTAGAAATCGGATGGCATACATTTTTTTCCGGATTTCATCGTTCTAGGGTGTGTACTACAACAACAAACTTTTTTTTTACAAAAAATGTTACTATGGCCGTATATATAAAATGATATATAACTGCTATCGGACGATCTTGTGCACGACAAAAACCTATATAGAACTTTAAGTTGGAAGTGTAGAAATCGGATGGCATACATTTTTTTCCGGATTTCATCGTTCTAGGGTGTGTACTACAACAACAAACTTTTTTTTTACAAAAAATGTTGCTATAGCCGTATATATAAAATGATATATAACTGCTATCGGACGATCTTGTGCACGATAAAAACCTATATAGAACTTTAAGTTGGAAGTGTAGAAATCGGATGGCATACATCTTTTTCCGGATTTCATCGTTCTAGGGTGTGTACTACAACAACAAACTTTTTTTTTACAAAAAATGTTACTATAGCCGTATATATAAATTGATATATAACTGCTATCGGACGATCTTGTGCACGATAAAGACCTATATAGAACTTTAAGTTGGAAGTGTAGAAATCGGATGGCATACATTTTCTTCCGGATTTCATCGTTCTAGGGTGTGTACTACAACAACAAACTTTTTTTTTACAAAAAATGTTATTATGGAAGTATATATAAATTGATATATATCTGCTATCGGACGATCTTGTGCACGATAAAAACCTATATAGAACTTTAAGCTGGAAGTGTAGAAATCGGATGACATACATTTTTTTCCGGATTTCATCGTTCTAGGGTGTGTACTACAACAACAAACTTTTTTTTTACAAAAAAAATGTTATTATGGAAGTATATATAAATTGATATATAACTGCTATCGGACGATCTTGTGCATGATAAAAACCTATATAGAACTTTAAGTTGGAAGTGTAGAAATCGGATGGCATACATTTTTTTCCGGATTTCATCGTTCTAGGGTGTGTACTACAACAACAAACTGTTTTTTTTACAAAAAATGTTATTATGGCCGTATATATAAAATGATATATAAGTGCTATCGGACGATCTTGTGCACGATAAAAACCTATATAGAACTTTAAGTTGGAAGTGTAGAAATCGGATGGCATACATTTTTTTCCGGATTTCATCGTTCTAGGGTGTGTACTACAACAACAAACTTTTTTTTTACAAAAAATTTTACTATAGCCGTATATATAAAATGATATATAACTGCTATCGGACGATCTTGTGCACGATAAAAACCTATATAGAACTTTAAGTTGGAAGTGTAGAAATCGGATGGCATACATTTTTTTCCGGATTTCATCGTTCTAGGGTGTGTACTACAACAACAAACTTTTTTTTTACAAAAAATTTTATTATGGAAGTATATATAAATTGATATATAACTGCTATCGGACGATCTTGTGCACGATAAAAACCTATATAGAACTTTAAGTTGGAAGTGTAGAAATCGGATGACATACATTTTTTTCCAGATTTCATCGTTCTAGGGTGTGTACTACAACAACAAACTTTTTTTTTACAAAAAATGTTACTATGGCCGTATATATAAAATGATATATAACTGCTATCGGACGATCTTGTGCACGATAAAAACCTATATAGAACTTTAAGTTGGAAGTGTAGAAATCGGATGGCATACATTTTTTTCCGGATTTCATCGTTCTAGGGTGTGTACTACAACAACAAACTTTTTTTTACAAAAAATGTTATTATGGAAGTATATATAAATTGCTATATAACTGCTATCGGACGATCTTGTGCACGATAAAAACCTATATAGAACTTTAAGTTGGAAGTGTAGAAATCGGATGACATACATTTTTTTCCAGATTTCATCGTTCTAGGGTGTGTACTACAACAACAAACTTTTTTTTTTACAAAAAATGTTACTATAGCCGTATATATAAAATGATATATAACTGCTATCGGACGATCTTGTGCACGATAAAAACCTATATAGAACTTTAAGTTGGAAGTGTAGAAATCGGATGACATACATTTTTTCCAGATTTCATCGTTCTAGGGTGTGTACTACAACAACAAACTTTTTTTTTACAAAAAATGTTATTATGGAAGTATATATAAATTGATATATAACTGCTATCGGACGATCTTGTGCACGATAAAAGCCTACATAGAACTTTAAGTTGGAAGTGTAGAAATCAGATGACAAACAGTTTTTTCCGGATTTCATCGTTCTAGGGTGTGTACTTCAACAACAAACTTTTTTTTACAAAAAATGTTATTATGGAAGTATATATAAATTGATATATAACTGCTATCGGACGATCTTGTGCACGATAAAGACCTATATAGAATTTAAGTTGGAAGTGTAGAAATCGGATGGCATACATTTTTTTCCGGATTTCATTGTTCTAGGGTGTGTACTACAACAACAAACTTTTTTTTACGAAAAATGTTATTATGGAAGTATATATAAATTGATATATATCTGCTATCGGACGATCTTGTGCACGATAAAAACCTACATGGAACTTTAAGTTGGAAGTGTAGAAATCAGATAAAAAAAATTTTTTTCCAGATTTCATCGTGCTAGGGTGTGTACTACAACAACAAACAATTTTTTTTTTACAAAATATTTTATTATGGAAGTATATATAAAATTATATATAACTGCTATCGGACGATCTTGTGCACGATAAAAACCTATATAGAACTTTAAGTTGGAAATATACAAATCGGATGGCATAATTTGTTTTGTGGATTTCATCGTTCTAGGGTGTGTACTACAGCAACAAACTTTTTTTACAAAAAATTTGACTATATCCGTATATAGAAAATTATATATAACTGCTATCGGAAGATCTTTGCACGATAAAAACATATATAGAACTTTAAGTCGGAAGTGTAGAAATCGGATGGCATAATCTGTTTGAGATTTTAGGTAGGGTCAACTGTGGACCGACCCTTACAAAATTCAACAGATAAATTTTGTTTCATATAAAAGTTGTTGTCGAATTTTATAGCTATTTTTTTAAGCCAGTTATGAGTGGTAGTAATTTCCCGAGGTGGACCTTATATCGGGGATAGGTTAAATTATGGACCGATCCCCTTAAATTTGACAAAACGATGTTGACTCCTTGTTTATGTGGAATTTCTTTGCTATATTGGTATTTTTATTACAATTATTGGAGTTAATATCTTTTTCTGAAGGGGAACTTATATGGGGGTAGGGTCAATTTTGAACCAACCCAGAAAGGTTTTGGATCATATAAATCTTGTAAAATAATTTCCTGATCCTCATAAAATTTGGCAAAAAGATTTTAGTTCCTATAAAACTTGTTTTTGTCGTTCTTCTTCGCTATACTGGAATATTGAAGCTCAATAATAAACTCCATCAACTAAAAATATTTTGGCAAATATTGGCTAAGATCCTAGTCTAAAGTTTTATGGATTTTAGACCAATATTTCTGTGTAAAAGTTCCTTGGCTCCCTGATGAGTTTATCGTATACCGATATTGTCCATTTTCAATAACAAACTCAATGTTAGACTGTAATAAGATCCCAGCATATACTTTTATGGATATTAGACCAATATTTCAATGTGTTACAAACGGTGTAAAATGTTCCTTGACTCCCTGATGGGTTGTGTCTTCCAAGTGGTGATTTAGCGATCTTGAAAGTGACGGAACTAATAGGGAATCACATTGTTCGCCGGTCTCTGGTAAGATTTTAGGTTGATAGTCATGCTGCATTTAAAGCATTAATATGTCATAGCTGTATTCTTGCATAGTCGTAGAATGAAGAAAAGATCTAAGTATTATTATGAGACCGTTTAAAATAAGGCTGTGTTGGGTACCAGGACCCTGCAATATACACAAATGAGGTATCTGGCGAACTGATACGATGAGGCTCGAATCTTGTCCCATATGAACGGAACAAGAACGGAACAAGAAGCCACCCCTTTTTCATTTTTTAGGTTGATCTCCGGTGGATTCCGTGACTCTTTCAACCAGTCATGGAATATAGAATGAATTGCACATTATATATGGTCGTTTTAAAAATACTTGATTCTAATGAAACCGGGATTATTATTGGGGTAGATGGTGTACACCAAGAACACTTGCACTGGCTATAAAACATTATTAAAATACATAAATTTTTCTTAGCACAAAATAAATATGTCTAGTAATTTGTTTTTGTTTCATTTGTTTACGTTTTTACAGAAACTCACCACACAACAATCAAAAACAGCTGTTAGGGTTTGCTGTTTTATCAAAAGGTTGTTTTATTAACGGGTATTTTTTTCCGACTTTTTGACTATTTTCGACTTCTTTCGACTTTTTTCGATTATCTTTTGACTTTTTTCGGGTTTTTCCGACTATTTTAGATTTTTCAAAATTTTCGACTATTTTTACTTTTTTCTACTATTTTCGAGTTTCCGACTTTTTTCGACTTTTTCTGACTTTTCGACTTTTTACGACTTTTCGACTTTTTTCGACTTCGACTTTTTGACTTATCGACTTTTTTCGACAAAAAGTCGATTGTTCGATTATTCGAAAGTGAACCGGCACTAAATTATCGTCAAAAATCTGGTAACATTGTAATATTATTAATGAAATCGCTAGAATTTAATATTTAAAATTTTTCGCTAAATTGACTTTAAAATCGCTTTAAAGATTTTGGTCAAAGTATATTAATATACTTTGATTTCGAGTAGTAAATAATCGAATTGGCATCACTAATTAAAACGTCAAAAAAGGACGCTTGCAGAAATTTGAAAATTTATAAATTTAATTTTACAATACGTATTTTTAATTTTTTTAATTAATTGAATGAAATAATAATTATGAGTAATATTAGTGATAATAGTGCCGTAAAAATAGCAGTGCGCGAAAGGCCAGCTAGAGAACATTTAAAAAATAATTTTCAATCTAGTGTTATTACTTATCATCCCAATGGAAATGTAAGCGAATATTGTATAAATATTTTTATTAAAAAATTGTTATTAATATATTATAATTTCTAAGAACATAATTGTTAACGAAGCAGTTTTTACATTTGATCATGTTTTGGGACCAGCCGTAACTCAGAAAGAGATTTTTGACAGTTTGATTAAGCCGCTGGTGGTCAATCTGAAGCTGGGATTCAACTGTACTGCCTTGGCATATGGTCAAACCGGCACTGGTAAATCTTACACTATGGGACTTGATTCTAAGGTACATATAATTGTGTTAAAAAATTTTTCAATCTAATATTTTTTTTTTGTATTTAGAGTTTTGATGGGGAAGATGTTGGGGTTATTCCACGGTGTTTGAAAGAAATATTTTCAACTGCGGACTTAATTTCAGAAAATGAAGAAAATAAGAAACTTGTTAATAATTCATCAACAAAAATGGAGATTTTAGCATCATTCATTGAAATTTACAATGAAAAGGTTTACGATTTATTAGGAGAAAATACAAATGAACCAATTATTGCCAAAGGTATGTAATGTCACATGCGATAAGAAAAATTTGAAAATTTAATTTTCATAAAATATAATATTAAAATTTGTATATAAATATTTTTTTATAATATATTACGTTTCCTTAAAATTGTTATCTATCCTGCACTTTCGAGAAAAACATTTTTACAACGCCTTACATATGGTAAAAATTATTTTCCATAAATTTCCTTCATTCTCACTGATTTTTGTTTGCTCATAAAATGAAACAAATGCACATTCGACCGATTCACAAAAAATGGTGATTGAGTTAGCCTCTCAAAATATTCGCCCTTATGTAATATGATGTTCCCCAAAATATTTTGGGTTCAGTGTTGTCCGTTCGTGAGCTGGAAAGTTTTCAAGAAAATGTCATAGGGGACAGGATTTTTCATGTTCAATTCAATATTATATCCAGCTTTAAAAAACTTTGTTTTCTTTTATGATGGTTCCCACAATATTTCTAGTCTATCGGTGGCCGTTCGTAAACTGGACCGGTTACAAAAAAAGTTCCTTTTCAGTTATTTTTTTAAATTTGACAGTTTTTTCTTAAACAAAGAATACATATTTGGTATCATTTGAAAGGTTCTTTGAAGCCACGTTCAGTTGTGCATTCATTTATTTATATTAATGATAATGATTAATGAAAAACCTAACAATTTTTAATTTTTTGGAAAATGACAATTATGATCAGACGATTATTTATGATTAATACATCATTGGACGCAGCTTTCAAACGATACCCCATATTGTATATATTATATTGTTTCAAAACAAAACTAAAATTAAAAAAAATAATTCTGTTAAAACGGTGAAGAGAGAAATCTGTCTCTTCACAAGAAAGACAAAAAATTCTTCTTCCTGGGCAAGAAGATACCGGTGACAGACAAAGTTAGGTACTTAGGAAATTAAATGTAGACACCACATAGAGGATACGATCAAGGCACATCGGTGCTGGGCGATATGTAGGAGAACTATAGACATGAAATGGGGTCTTAGTCCTACAATGACAAATTGTCTTTATAAAAGTGTAATCAGACCAATTCTTGCTATGCTAGTGCTATGCTGGTGGACTGCTTTGGACAAAAAGTGTAATATCAAACTACTACAGGGAGCGTACATGCTGCTTGGGTATAAGTGGTGCCATGTGTATTACTTCAACCAAAGCTTTGGAAACTTTGCTAGATATTCTACCTATTGAAACATTTTTAAGATATGAGGCGGCCGATTACAGCCGCACTTCTCTTTACTTTAGGCGAACTGGCCAAAAGCGGTTACGTCATAAATGTATACTGGACACATTGGAAGGATATACACGAATCATCGGACGTTGCTGATCACATAGCTGATCCCAGATAGAATGTATTGGTTAAGCGGAACATTAGATCAAATACCAGTACGAATCCCTTGTTTTACGGATGACTCTAAATCTAATTCTACATTGAAGACCCAGAAACAGAAATATTCGACCGTTTACCTAATCATAACACAAGCTTCCAGGCAGAAGTCCGAGCAATAACGGAATGTGTAAATTGGATTAGAATAAATATTGAGCCCACAGCCCTTAATATATTCACCGACATCTAGAAGGCAATTAGGGCGATATCAGGTGATAGAATTAAATCTAAGGCCGTATTGGATTGTAAGAAAACTTTAACTGAATACTTTCCCAGAGGTTAGGTTAGGTAGGCAGGTCGTCCTCGCGATGTCATCGCTGGGGACACTCTTGGGTCCAGTATTTGATCCCTTTTTGAAACGAGGGAAAACGGTCAGCGTATTAGTACACTTAGACCAAAACAGTTTGTCGCACGAATATAGGAATCTATCTTTCGGATATTGACCTCTGATAAATCCTATAAGTCACGCAGAAAATTGCTACCTAGCAGACCCATTCTGTGATCAGCTAGGGCGGTACAATGACAGAGGAAGTGGTTTATACTCTCTTCTTCCTCTTCATCCTGCATAAGTCGTTACTGGGTATGTTCAGTCTTCCTGCATGGAGTCCGAAAGGCCTGTGGCCAGTTACCACTGCCGTTAAGTTCCGTAGATTAACTCTTGGAATGTAGAAAAGGGCTTGGGATCTCTGTGGGCTGTAAGATGGCCACATGATCCTTGCCTGTCTACAGGTGGCCTCATTCGTCCATCTGCATTGCGCAAGCTCGTATAGGCTTTCACGTATCGAGCGTTTGCAGGTTGAAATCGGTATACCGACAAAAGGGTCGGTATGCTCTCTTGCAAGCGAGGAACCTAACTTGGCAAGAGAGTCCACGATGGTATTGCCAGTAATTTGTTGATGTCCTGGAATCCAATACAGTTCTATTGTGGAATGTTTCGCCATCTCGTTAAGGGATGCCCGGCATTCTAGGACAAAGTTTGATGTCGTGTAGACACCAATTAGAACCTTAAGGGCTGCCTGGCTGTCGGTATAAATTCGAATATTAGCACCGTATATTCGATAAAACCTGTGCCAATTTGCAGCCCGTTTTATGGCTGATAATTCAGCCTGAAGAACGCTACATTGGTCAGGAAGCTTGAAGGAGACTTCCTATGTAACTATGTAAAAGCCACCGCCTACACCATCGTTTGATTTTGAGCCATCGGTGAACACCTTATACGATCCGTCATGGAGGATTGTTTCCATCACATTTGGATCGTGTTGGATAGTCACTGAAGAGCTACCATCAAAAGACGGTTTGGCGATGCAATAGTCGATATTGTCAGGGATCTCTCCTAGACAATTGAGAATGGCAGAGTGACCTGACTGAATCATATGCCACATACCAATTGTATTGAGTCTAATGGCCGCGTTGAGGGCAACCTCTTGAGCCATTAGATCAATAGGTAGCCATCCCATCATGGGTGGTGCGAAAGGCCCCCGTTATCAACAGAGCTGATGTATGACTTTTGTACAGACTTCCACCACACAAGTGCACCATACAGTAGTATGGGCTTGACTGCCATGTCAAAGAGCCATTTGGTGTTCTTAGGGTTTATGCCCCATGATTTATCAATTGCTCTTTTACACGAGTATAAGGCCGCAGCCGCTTTTTACATCCTAGATTGAGTGTTCAAATGCCATGATAGTTTTGAATCCAGGATAACTCCCAGATATTTAACACTATCTGATAACTTCAATTCAACCCCATTCAATCGTGGGAGAGTGAAGGTGGGTATCTTGTACTTCTTAGTAAAGAGAACAAGTTCCGTTTTCGATGGATTTACACCAAGGCCACTGACGACGCTCCATGTGTAGTTGTTAGCCAAAATGCTGCCCTAAGGACTGTAACGGGCTGCATGCAAATAACCTCAGAACACCATCTACATGAGGAAACGAAGGTCCTCCCAGTCAAGGAACATAATGTCATGCTGACCAAACAGTTCCTCCTGGGATGTCACCGGAGGAGTCATCCCAACTTTAACATCACACAGTTGGATGCTCCCCCGAGGCATGTCAGGAAGGACCTTCGTGTATACGAAGAGAGCATACGAAGTTATGTTCAGGATCCCTTAGATCGGACTTCGTATACAGCAGCTTTGAACGACATTCATAGAGACGCCATCAATACCGCGGTTTCAGGTTACCGCATGAATGTCGTTCTTGGAGGTCGCCCACCGCCCATAGCAGAAATAGAGAAGAACCTGCCGCGGAAAACAAGAGTTGCTCTGGCACAACTGAGATCGGGATGGAGCAACAGGCTCAACGCCTACTGGTCCCGCATAGACCGTGCCGTCCCCAATATATGCCCATCTTGTGGACAGGGTCCCCATGATACCCACCACATTTTCAACTGTCCAGCCCACCCTACTTCACTTAGCCCAATGGATTTATGGACTAACCCTGTTGAAGTAGCCCAATTTCTTGGCCTGGACCTAAATACAGAACCCCCGGATTAAAATTGTATAGTTTAAGCTGTTACAACAACAACGACGCTCCATGTGCTGAGTGACTTGAGTGCAGTCTCCATCCTTTGCGATATAGTATCCAGATATTTGCCAGATACTACTACAGACACATCGTCTGCATACGCTATTACCTTATATCCCATAGATCTAAGATTCATGAGAAGTGGGTTCAACGCTAGGTTCTACAGAAGTGGGGATAGAACTCCACCTTGTGGGGTACCGCGATTTCCCACTTTTGTGACATTTGTTTGTGACATTTCCCATTTCGGAGATAATGATCCGTTGGGTCAATAATCTCTTGATAAAAGCTGTTATTGGTTGGTTTATGACCAGACCAGCTAGGGCCGTTGTTGTCGACTCAGGGTGAACATTGTTGAAAGCCCCCTCGATGTCCAAGAAGGCAACAAGTGTATATTCCCCTTGCGCTATTGTCTTTTCAATGTGACATACTAGCGAGTGTAATGCAGTCTCAACAGATTTTTCCTTCATGTAAGCATGTTGAGACGCTGATAAATGGTTAGGTTTGATCTGCATTCTGAGATGCAGGTCAATTATCCTTTCCAAAGTTTTGAGAAGAAAGGAAGATAGACTAATTGGTTTGAAATCCTTTGGCTTCGTGTGTGAGATCTTTCCTCCTTTTGGAATGAAAAATACTGTGCACTTGGTCCAAGGTTCGGGTATATAAGACCATTTTAGACAGGCATCATATATCCGCATTAGCCAAGGCATGAGATGGACAGCATTGTGTTGAAAAATCCGCAGGTATAACATCGTCAGGACCCGGTGATTTGTAGGGGTCGAAACTTTTTATCGCCCAGTTGATCCTATATTTATGGATATTCCTGTATCAGCTGGGAGATTTGTAAACTGCATATCAATCCCGTTTGCCGGAGATTGACAACCTGGAAAGTGAGTGGCCATTAAAACTTCTAAGGTTTCTTGGCTACTGGTCGTCCAACTACCACATGATTTCTGAATGAAACTTGGGACAGGAGGAGTAGATGATGAGATTTTGCGAAGACGGCTGGTCTCAGAAGAACCCTCCACGCCGCTACAGAAGGTTCTCCAGGATTTGCGCTTTGCATTTCTAACCAGGTTTGTAAAACGGTTTACCTGTTCTCTTTGCCTCGTTAAACAGTATGCGTCTCTTTCCGAGATTTCGCAATGTCAGCAGACCACCATGGGGCCCTGTATCTGCCTTTATGCATGTTGTGTTTGCAAAACAGCGAAGTCGCGTGTTTGAAAGCTTGATTTATGGTTTCAACCGCGTTTTCTACATCCGATCGGTTTTCGATGATCGGTACATCCTGCAGTGAACGTGAGATTAGCCCTATTTGCATTTCCCAGTCTGTTCGTCTCCTGTTTGTAAAGGTCTTTGGGGCCACTTTGTCAACTACGATTTTAAAATCGATGTACTGATGGTCAGAGAAAGAGCAGTCACTTGAGACTCTCCATCCCCTTATCCTATCATGATGCATGGAAATAACCAGCGTAATATCAAGAACTCCCTTCTGTTTGAAACAATAAAGATCGGTTCGGAGCCTGAGTTTAGAATATCAAGATTATTGCTTAGAATGAAGTTAAAGATTGACTTACCTCTAGCGTTTATGTCCGAGCTACCCCAGACAGTGTGATGGGCATTTGCATCAGCCCCCATGATGATCGGCATACTCTTCAAATTTGCCATCTCTATGGATCTGCAAACCAGGTTGTTTGGTGGCTGGTCGCTGTGGTCGTGAGCCATGTACGCCGAGATAACTAATATAGCACCTACACTGGTCTCCCATATGGCTGCTACGGTGGCTGAAATCAGAAAGAATGAAGATGTTGAGAATGCTTTTGGATACTATACAGGATCGAATCTTACCAGATCCTTTTGCGTACAGTAGCTTATAGCTTTTCATGCCTAGTCCACTCACCCTCTCTTGGGGAATTCAGGGCTCCTGGACTAGGGCGAGCTCCTCCCCACTTACGCCCATTCGGAGTGCAGCCGAGGCTGCCTTGGAGTGGTGGAGATTAATTTGGGTTACTCTCACCATCTCCTTTTTTGTCTTTACGCAACACTGTGACATTGGCGTCCTCCTTGTCAAAGGCAAGGAGATCGTCCTCGTCAACTGACTCTTCCCCCTCCTTAACCAACTTAGAAGTTGATTGACTCAGCGAAAGGTCAGTCTCGTCGCAAGACATATCAGCAGCGGATTGATCAGGATCGGGATCATCCTGTTCCAATAGTCCCTTGTCGTCGCGTCGGTAGACACGAAGGAAGATCGACTCGAAACCCTAGTAGACCTTCCCTTGTCTCTAGGGAAGCGGCCCCAATGACTCTTGGTTCAGGATCACAACAATCCTTCTGGAGCTGCCTACAGGTTGAGAAACCCTAGCGGTGGATCTAGGCCTTCGTGGGATCTCGTCCACAGAGACCACTTCCAGCATAGCGCCGTCCCACGGATCCTTTATCAGCGACACAGCTTGCTTCAGGAGCAAAGCTGAGCGCTCGTTCGAACAGGCCATTAGCTTCACTCTATTGTGAAACCAACCGCCGTCCACACACTGTGGGGGGACCAGGGTTCTGTTTAAGAACTTCCCAGAACACCCCCATCAGCTTTTTTCGCACTATGTCCCATCTAGATGGAGACATAGCGCCATCTATGTCACCCCTGTCGATGACAGCACGCGTGAATTGGTTCTCAGCCACTTCACCGAGGGTCCTGTCATGCGGCTTGGGGGGCAACGGTTTCGGACGTTTTGTCCCGGGCTGCTGGCCCTGAAGATTAGTCTCCTCCTCAGAACGTTGCCGTTTAGGCGCGTCTTTAGACGTGGGGGGGCTCTTCTCCAGAGAACTTTTGCACTTTATTTTGTCCGATAGTGTATATATTTGAAGATGGCTATAAGCGATGGTTAATTAACAATTTTTTTTTCCTATATGTCAAAATTTTAAGAAATCAATAATCCTGGCTGTTGTGTAAACCGAATCCGAGTAAATTTCTCGTTTAAAAACGAATTCTCATAAAATTTCTCGTTTTAAAACCGAGTAAACAAATCTAGTATTTTAATTTTATTCAAATAAATTAAATAATTGTTTTTTGCGTTTTTAATGTAATTGTAACTTAATATAAATGCTATGAGCATTTTAAACTCTTTGAATATATCCTAAAAAAATTTATTTTTTTTACATTTCGAATTCATGTGCTGTGAGACACGTTAATGATCTGGGGAATTTGCAATAACTTTTAAATTTTTCAACCAATATTTGTGTCTTACATCTTTTCGAAATGCTTATGTGTACATTGCGATTCCTATATAATGAAGTGCAATATTAATTATTAAGTGGCAAAATTTAGCTAAAACTGAAAAAAATCGATTTTCCCCCTTTTAAATGCACTTGGAAACTTCAGTGCCGTTGGGGCACCTGTTAACGTAATCCTATCAGACTAATTTTTTATATGACATAGTTTTACGACCCATGGAACAATTCTAGAGGGGGACGGGCAAAATTCGCAACTTCGTTTTTTTTGGAGCACTCTAATGTACATATATGTTTTATATCTTACCGAAATGCTTATTATGTGTACATTGCTGTTCCTTTACAATAAAGTGCAAAATTTATTACTAACTGGCAAAATTTTAGGATAAACTGAAAAAAATTTATTTTTTCCCCTTGTAAATGCAATTGGTAACTTCAGAGCCGTTGCGGCACCTGTTAACGTTATCATATCAGCATAATTTTTTGCATGACATAGTTTTACAACCCATAGAACAATTCCAGAGAGGGGGGAACGGCCTGTCGGATAAAATATTTTTTCCTTCAAACAAGCTTGGATCACTCTAATGGAGAATTTTTAATTTTCTATTAGAATTTAATGATTAATATCTTAAATGATAGCTGCTTTATATATTCAGGTAATTATGAATTTTTATTCACCGGGAGTTTGTTTCCTTTGCGTGCTTTAGGTATAGGAGAGGGAATAAACTGTCAGGGAATTTATTATTCAGTATAGGCCTGATAATGTCCTATAGGTGGGATCGCAGGAACCGTTACAAGGTAACCATTATATGGACAACCTAACCATGTACGTTCACGTTATTTTCTGAAAAACAAATTGCAGATTTCAGGGCCATATTCGGAAATAATGAACCAATATTTAACATTTTTAATAGACTTTGTCCTTACGCCAAAAAAAAAAAAAAAAAAAAAAAATATATATATATATATATATATATATATATATATATATATATATATATATATATATATAAATAATATTTCATCAAATTATTTTCAAAATTGCGACCTGTATCTTGCGCACAAGATTTATGTACATGTATACATAGACGAACGGACAGACTAAATCAAAATTGACTAAGTGATTCTGAGCCGATTAGTATAATTCAAGTAGCTATAGAAGTGTTATTTTTGGGTGTTACAAACATGAGCTCAAATGCATAATACCCTTCCCATTATAGTGGTGTAGGGTATAAAAATAATATATTTATTAAAATATGCTTTGTTGATGGGTATACAGGATTCGGTATATAACGCACAGATAATTTATTTGCAGAATAAGTAAAAGTTATTTAAAACAGTATAAATTTTAGGTTACAAATATACCGGAGGAACTCGTAAAACTTTAAATAATCTTGATGATTGTCACGCTATACTAATGCAAGGCAATAAAAACCGCCATGTACGTCCCACTAAAATGAATTCACAAAGTTCACGTTCTCATGCCATATTCACAATACACGTTCGTTCCAGAACACAAAAAGATAGTGGTGGCGAATCTATAACTACATCGTGTATGAACATTGTTGATTTAGCCGGATCTGAAGGTGTTAGACGTACTGGACACCAAGGTGTGGCAATGTCAGAAGGTGTACACATAAACCAAGGGTTGCTATCAATTGGAAAAGTTTTACAGGCAATGACCACAGGCAGCAAAGTGATACCATACCGGGACAGTGTGTTAAGTTCTGTATTGCAAGGTAAAACCTACATTTCTGAAAATGTTATGCTTCTTGTTTTAAAAAATTAAGTTTAATGACTATAAATAAATGTATATATTTTTGTATTTTTGGAACAGAATCCTTAAATTCTAATTCATATCTGACCTTATTGGCATGTATTAGCCCACATCGTGAAGATTTAAGTGAAACTTTATCAACACTGAGATTTGCCCAAAATGCCAAACAGTTGAAAAATACACCAGAAATAAATAATATTATTGCTGATATTAAGGTAAGAGATTAACATTTTATAATGTTAAAAGTATATTTATAAGTTTATAACACAAAAAGTAATACAATTTTAAATCAAATCCCAATCAATTGAATCCATAATTATACCACGTAATCTTTCATTAAACAGTAATGATTTTGCACCTACAAAACCAGCTTCCATTGCATCAGTGGAATGTCCAGCCGAAACCTTTTCACTTAGTTTTTCCAAATCTGGTACATCTTCACTTTTTGTAGTGAGTATAGGTAGCACAATCATACCAAAGATAAGACCAATAGCACCTTTGTTCTTAAATTCTCTGTTAAAAGCAGAGCGAGCAAAAAGATTTTCCGGATTCGAACCCAATCTAGTAAATGTAAATCATAAATCAACATCATATCGATATGAATAGTTAAAAAAAGTGAATTCTATACATACTTTTTAATATGCTCCCTAACAGCGCAGTGATAAAAATCTAGAACTTGTTGAAAGTGCTGTTTTCGAAATTCTCTAGTAGTGCATGACATTAAAAAGTACATAATATCAATGATGGGTGAAGAATAACGCATTATCTGCCAGTCAATAAGACGGGCATCAACAACCTTACCGTTCTATGAGGAAAAGGTGTTAATATTTATTATAACAATCGTTTAAAGAAAATTACCTCTTTTTTAAACATAACATTATTTATCCAACAATCACCATGACATATTACAGCGTAAGGTTCACTTGACTTTGAATCCAATAAAGTCAGCATAAGTTCGTAAAATGTACCACGATTAAAATACTCATTCAATTTATCCCAATAAACATGTTCCATTTCCTTGTCTATACTCTCCAAAGCACTTCGCTTCAGACTTTCGAAGTAATCATTTAACTGAATATCGTTCTTGCGTTGTTCGAATATATCCTTCATATTTTTTAAACTATTAATTTTTTCTGGATTTTGATCTTTTATAGCAAGTGATGTTGCATGTAATTTACCATAAATGCCCATTATATGAACAACTTGATCAAGTGTAAGTGGCTCAAAACGGTTATGCATAAAAAACTCATCAATTTGCAAATCACTCATACAAATGGTTTCATTGTACTCTTCTATTGACGTAAAGTAACATTGAGGGTATTCAAAAAAAGTTTCGCTTACGGGAAGACCCTTTAATTTTTGAAAGTCCTCGACAAGGGGAAGAAACTATATGCACAATACATGAAATAAGCTTATATTTAAATACAATCTTAAGCTATTGATACCTTTTCGTATGCTAAAGCTTCTCTCAAAAATCCAGCTCTTGCAAAAAACTGGTTTCGTTGCAGAGGATTTGAAGGAGGAACCTTAAGGATTATACTTTGTTTATTGCCACTGTTTGTTGTTATCGTAATGCGGTATACGACTCCCATATAATTGTCACCCTTTTTAGCAGCTCCTTGAATTTGATACTTGTAACTTTGTGGTCCATATTTGGCATCCAAAAAGTTTTTGAGAAGTTCTATAACAGCCGTAGAAATCTCGTTAGATGTGCTATGTTCCAAATGCTCCATTGTTCTAAGTTAATAATTTAAAATTAATCTTAATCATATATATTTAGACACTACTTAAAAAAATACGAAATTTGATTCTAACCGCAATGTTACACATGTATTTATTTATTGTTATTTTTTTAGAAAAATGCCAAACTAAAGCAGACACCTTATAAATCAAAACCTTTACAAATAAATAATCCAAAGGTTACGCCACTAAAACGTTCCTACTCTACACTATATGGCACACAAGTGAAATCGTCCATAAAAAGCAATACCTTTTGTACTCCAAAAAAGCAACGGGTGGAGGTAAATAAATGCAATCAAACAGAAATATCCAGCAATTACAAAAAGTAATTTATTACGATACAAAATTTTTTTCACTTAGTCTAATACAAGAAATTATGAATATTTTCTAGACCAAAATTATCAAATGTTGAAATGAATTTGCCTAAAATGGGTCAATTAGAATCTACGCATAATCGGGAATCCATGTTTAACCGGAGTTTAGAATCAAATGGTTCTCTGCTAAGCCTTAATATATCAACTTCAACTGCTGTCGATGGACATGCGTACAAAAGAAACACAAAGTAAGTAAACTTAATAAAAAAAGAAAAATAGATACAATAAACTCTTAAACTATTGTGAATTCAGTTTTAGTCCAATTATACGCAAGTGTATAGCAGAGTTGAAAAATGATTTGGAAGATAACCTAATGAAAATGATACAAAAAAATTTACAAACGCTAGTGCCTCAAACACCTGCTCCCGCCCCTGCACCAACTCCACAAAATCAAACTAATCTGCCCTCTACAATACGCCAGGAACTTAAAAATATTATGAAGGAAGTTCTGTCTGAAAAAGATGGCCATATTAGTCCTTTGAAAACCAATGCTAAATGCCAATTAGTAAGTTATTTCTATTAAGTAAAGTAATTATATATTAAAAATATTTTTCTTTTAGTTTAACAATAGCGATGATCTATTTAAAATTCCTGAAATTCCTTCAGAAGTTCATAGGCCAAAGACTTCAAGTCCAATTACCAATAGCAAAGACTCTTCAGAACCATCAACATCGTTCACCCAAACTTTCTTTGCTGGTGCTACAAACTCTGATAAGACTGTACTAAACAAATCTATACGACGTTCAATTCGTATCTCTGCGAGACATCATGATGAACAATCATTGATTGCAAATAATACTTCACTGGAAAATGCCAATCAATCATTACGCCGAAGTTCGCGTAAATCAGTTTTAAAAATGTATCAAGACAAACGTCGAAGTATACGTTTGGCCACACACAATGAAAGTATTACAACTGAAGATAAACCAGAAAGAGAGAAAGTATCGAAGACTGTAAAGAAACTAAATAAATCATCAAAAGGAAATGCAATAAATAATACTATAATAGATGGTTATTGTAACGGTTCTGCATCGACAAATACCAAGACTAGTTTAACTAAACATCGTAAAGCAATTTTAGATCTACTGAATAAAGGATCAATGAAAGAATTGCAAATTTTGCCTCAAGTTGGTCAAAAAACAGCTTATCAAATTGTTACGCAAAGGTATGTTAACACTAAGGCAGGTTATTTTATAATTCGGTGCGAATGCAAGTATTTTCTTTATAAATCATATAATTCCAAACGAATTGCAAAACAGTCTTATATTATATTTCAAAAATACATACACATACATTTTAAATATACATATTTGTGGTTGAAACAACTATTTTATTATAAAATAATTTCTTTTGATAAAATTCAAATTCTTGTTAATAAATATAATTTTATTTTATCTAGAACTCTCAACGGGAAATTCAAAAGTGTGTCTCAAGTGGAAAAACTACCTATTTGGCGTGGAAACGCTTGGGAACGCTTTGCTCAGGTAAATAAAAACAAATTTGTATATGCAATATTTTCATACTTACACTACATTATTTCTATATTTTTTTTAAGGCGAATATGTTAATATAACAGTATGCAGTTATGTACACAATATTAGTATTGCAATATCTCCCATCTCCTACACATTATACTACATTTTAATTTTAAATTTGTTAAATTTACGATTTTTAATTTTTTAATAGCGCTTTATAATAAAGTTTAATTGAACTTGTATTTTTTATAATAATAATTTGTGTTTTTAACTATGTCCCAGATTAACATATTTTGTTAAAAAATATCCTGCATTCTCCGGTTTTTATAATCAGCTCTTATGTCCTTATAAAAAGCCTACAAAGTTTAAAGGACTTACAATTTCACACGAATATTTTAAATATTTATATGCATTGTTGATGCTAATATTAGTATCAAATGAAAGCTGGGAATCAGTCTATATTTTTATTTTACTCACTTAGACAAAAAATCGAAAAAGAAATTAAATTTAAAAAAGGTCTCATTTTCGAAACAAAATTTTTAACTATTTTTTTTGTGACAAATTTTCTTTAAGCTTCCATTTCTTTTCCAATCCTGATGAATAGAAATAAGTAATATTATTTTGAAGTAGGGGGTCTCATTTTAATTTGATATTAATATTAATAACAAATTTGTTATATAAATGTGAAATTCCATCTTTTGAAATCATATATCCTTTAAACTTTAAAGTCCCTTTACAGGAGCATAAGAGCTGATTATGAAAAACTGAGTATACAGAGTTTATACTAATGGTCCACAGTTTCCTGTACACATAGATCTTTTCATGTGTGAAAATGACTGTTGCACGGTGTTATAAGACAACAAGAATTTGATATTGATTATACATACTGAGAAATGATCTACATCAAATGATTTGTTGATTTTTGAAATTATGTACGAAAGGACATAATCAGGATACTGAGAGATCATTCAGATCAAACGATGGTTTAACGCATTTAAACGATTTTTGAAATTATGTGCGAATGGACATAATCAGGATACTGAGAGCTCCTTCAGATCAAACGATGGTTTAACGATATTTAAACGAAATCAATTGTTTTAGCTTCTCCAAATTCCGATTAATTATTTTTAATGTAAAAACAAGAATCAAGTTCTTAGTGATGGTTTTGACTAAAGTATTAAGAAAAAATAATAATTACAAAAAATTTCAATTTCACTTTAAAAACTAAAGTAGCGAGTGCTACAAATAATAGCTAATCAATTTGATTACATATCCTCTTCATATTCCAATTACCGACTATGAGAGCCATGAGGAGAAGAGTCACACCTTGCAGGAGGTATCTCTGCCGAATAACAGCAAAACATGGCGGATCTAGAGTGGACGCTCGATAAAACCCGTAATCCCGGGCGTTATTCGTTCCGTGGCCATGAGATGAAAGGCACTACGTTTGTGTGTCTTATTACGGTGGCCTACGGACCATTCACATTCTCTAGTTAATGGATGATAGCTTGATGTTGACTCATGTCCTAATTCTACCGAGGTACCTATCCCAACAGACCAAGAAGGTGCGTTATTGAATCTGTATCTAACACACCATCCTCTATCGCCGACAAATCGGATCCCATAGAACCAAAAGCACCATCCTCCACAGAAAGACCAAAACTCAGTGGCGCAGCGGGGAGACGCGGAGACAGGACTGGAGCTGCACCCCAAGTCCTGTCCGAGAATGAAGTTCCTAGAGCTGAGATCTATGTGGGATACTTTTCGGAGAAGTCCGAAACGGAAACATTCAGGGTGTTATCCCTAATAGAAGGACAAAACTCTGACCTATCAGTAGAGATTTGGAAGGTACTGAACCGAGGAAAGGTAACATTTTAGAAATTACCTTTGCGATCGACCCAAAATCTGCCTCCAAACTTAAAGAAGAAGGCTATCATGTAGGCAATGGATATGGAACAGTTCACATTATCCCCACACATCGCCAAAATCGAGGGGCGATGAACGTCATATCCAAAAAGATTGACGTAGCCGTCAATCAACGAGGGATGTGACAAGACAGGCAAGATCGACTCAAAAGTTCCATCTTTGTCGGTCGTAAAGCCGTTCTCTTTGAAAATGGCTATCAAGACTGTAAGGATAGTAAAAATCTCAAAATGTCCTCTGCTAAAACTGTCAGTCCGATGAAAGGTACAACTCCTTCGGCGAAGAAGCCTAACTACAGCACCTGCTCCTGCCAAAGGCAGAAAGACGGCTAAGCGATCTAGCAGACATTAAAAAAATTCCCCAGTTAGCCAGCAACAACAAAATTTTCTCGAAAAGATACTCAAGATACTTTGATATTTAAGTCACATTTTAACCTCCAGGACCTAAAACTTGAAATATTGCTCGAAGTAAGTGGATCTAAAGTTTTTTTGGTTGGAAATCTTCTCAAAAACTAATTTTATATAAAATTCAACAATTTAAAGTAATTTTTTTTATTATCAGTTTATTTTATTTAAGAAATTTTGAATGTGGGACCCCAGGATGCACTAAGTAAGTTGAAATCGTTAAGGCAGCTGATTTTTATTTGTTTATTTAAAAAGTGCTTGGGTTATGTCAAAAATAATCTATTTATTTTTATTCTAACATAAAAATTAAATTTGTGTTTTCAAACGAAAAAATTTCAAACCAAAAACTGTTAATGAAAATGCTGATAAAAAGTTTCCAAATTCCAATTTAATTTTTCCCATTTTATAATGAAATTTCTATACAAAGTATAGAGAGTCGGACTACTTGTTATACTTTGTTTCTATATATGCTTTGAAGTTTGTGTAAAAAATTTATAAAAATAATTTCAATTCAGTTAGAAAAATATTTTAAAAATTGTTCTTTTGAATTAAAATCATATTTATATTAAAATCTTAGAAAACTAATTTGTAAAATTAATTAGAGAATAAATATGAGCTGTATTTTCGCGAACTGCCAAAATACGAAATACTTCTGCAAAAATTTCAATGTAAGATTTTTTAAAGTCCCTATATTACCGGGTAAACGCCAACAGTGGCTTGAAAGATGCAAAACCAACGAAGAAAATTTGCCAAAGAGCCTATGGTTTCTTCAGATCATTTCTTTAAAAGTGATATTACAATCACTTCAAAACGTGCAATATTGGATAGAGATTCTATCCCAATGACTACTAGGTATGTACATTAAAGTGATTCAAGCTTGTATGAAGGAAAAAAATTTTGTCTGACAGGCCGTCCGTCTAGAATTGTTCTATGGGTTGTAAAACTATGTCATACAAAAATTTAGGCTGATTGGATAACGTTAACAGGAGCCGCAACGGCTCTGAAGTTTTCAAGTGCATTTACAAAGGGAAAATATCGATTTTTTCAGTTTTTGCTCAAATTTGGCCATTTAGTAATAAATTTTGTACTTCGTTGTAAAGGAATCGTAATGTGCACAGAGTAAGCATTTCGGAAAGATATAAAACACAAAGATAGCTTGAAAACCCAGGCCATTAACGTGTCCCACAGCACATGAATTCGAAACGTGACAAAAAATACTTTTTTTTGGAATATATTCTAACAAAAACATTTTGTTACATAAATATATCTATAATTACTCGAATATTGCGTTTAGATAACGCAATCTTCTTAGCTATGGTCAAAAAAGTTTGATTTTTTCAACGGCCGTTTCAAATCTCCATTTTCAGTTTTTTTGAATCTTTGTTAAACAAATTTCAAAATTTTTAGGAGATCTCATGGGGATTAATGGTCAATAGATAAGGCTATTAAACAATAAAAAAATTAAATCAATACTTCTCACAGTTTAGCTGTACCTGCGATTTGAACTCGGCGGATTTCGGGAAAATCGCATTTTTTTTGTAATATTTTAGAGAATACGTATTAATTCATTACTGATGCATATTTTAAATAAAGCATTATCAGAGTATTATAGTCTAGATAATATAAAATATATATCCGAAGTTTTATTAAAATCGGACATTCTTAACCCATAAACTGTAGAGTTCAAAGGTCAAATTTCGCAATATATGGGAATTTTTAGTGTACCATATCGAAATAATATTTATTTGTCGGCAATCTTTACCAAAAATGACTGGAATTTATCGTATATAGTCCGATATTTAAAATAGAGTAAAAAAAGGTAGATTAACCCTTTAAGGCACTTGGGAATAATTTAACACCAAAGTTCAAAAATTCGAAAAAACACCTTCTATTTATATCTTTCCGAAATGCTTACTCTGTGCACATTACGATTCCTTTACAACAAAGTTCAAAATTTATTACTAAATGGCCAAATTTGAGCAAAAACTGAAAAAAATCGATATTTCCCCCTTGTAAATGCACTTGAAAACTTCAGAGCCGTTGTGGCACCTGTTAACGTTATCCAATCGGCCTAATTTTTTGTATGACATAGTTTTTAAATATAATCAATTATTAGTATAGTAAAATATATACAGGAGGACCTTGATTATCCGAGATGGAAAAATCAAATTTTTTGCATCGAATTAATTTTATTTTGGATTGACTTAAATTTTTCTGCATCGGTTAACCGTGATTACCTCTATTATTCGTAATTATAAGCAAAATTCTATTATTTTTTAATGACCAAGCAAAATCCTTATCATCTGTTCCCTGTTTTCTGACAAAATTAGAAGACATAATTTTAATTATAGGTCAATATTATGTATGAATTCATAGAGAATGTGTTTAAATTGCTAAAAATGTTTTAATGCGCACCGGATTTTGGCATAATACAAAAAGAAAGCAAATTATATGGACTATTCAAACAACTAACAAAAATAAAAAAACGCAAAATTTTCTTTACATTTGTTTACAACCGTATATATTTGCACCTAAAAGTATTAATGAAATTATTATAAGGATTTTTAAATGTCAAAAGTCTTGTGACTCTTGTTTATAAAGTAAGTAAGTTATGAACTAAGAGTACAGTTTTGAAATTTATGAAAAAACTCAGATAAATTTCAAAGCATTTTTTTTAGTTTTTGAAAGTTTAAATGTTCATAAAGTTGAGAGGTAATAAGCTAGTCTGAAATTATGGACATACGTGTGTTTTGGTATATTATACCGAAATGTATCAAAACATTTACTTATTTTAAAAGATTAACGCAAATACGAGGCATTTTAATTCAGTTTCAACGATTCTTAAAAATAGTTGATTTTACTCATATCCCCTGATAGAATTTAAACACCCATCCGATGAATTTGATTTTCGTATTTGCTGATGTGCCA